AAAAAAAAAAAAAAAAAAAATCTTCCCAACCTACATACCAGAAGTGAGTTCACTTTCAGTATTGAGGTACAATGAGTCTTCAAGCCATCTGTGTTTGTTAGTTGGGGGTTCAGGTAAATACCAGTATTCCCTTTCTGTGTGTCCAGCTCCTATCAGGCCTCTTGGGGATAGCCACCAAATGGGGTTCAAAGCACATTTGCTCTCTGCGGCAACAAAAAACAAGTTGCATTTTTGTGGCATATTGTATCCTGAGTCTTTTTGGTTTTTTGTATGTTGTGTTTTTTTTTTTTTAATAAAAGAAAATCAGTCGTATTCTCAAAATCAAAGCTGTATCTGATTTCTTAAGATCACAGGACAAGTGAGACCCAGATGTAGCAGTCTGAGATGTAAATGTGCATGTGTTCTAAATCCACTGGTCTGCTTCATGTGTCTGTCAGATGTTAGTTTTTAGTAGCAAAGCTTAACCCTTGGGTGGGTGGAAAATGTCTTGAATGGGTGCAATTTAACATGAACTCTCATCTCTTCTTGCAGTGCCCAGAGACTGAAGTTCAGGTTGAATCTCTATGAACTGAAGGAAGGCAGGCAGATCAAACCACAGACTTTCATGAGCATGGTGTCCAATCTGCTCTACGAGAGACGGTAAACAGGAAACAATTGAATAGTTCTGTTACAGTATCAGTGGAATCAGGAGATGGCTAACAGAGTTCAGTGAAAATTTAGAGAAGTGAAGAGGAAAGCAAGCCCTTCACTGAGGACTAACTTTCTTACTATAGTCAACAGGACTCATGGAGGTTTAGCTAAATGAATGATGAAGACTGTTTAATTGCAAGCATAGGCAGAAACAAGTAATAGATAAAGCCTGTCTGAATATGTATTTAGCTATATGCAGCTGCACTACTTTTCAGTGAGTGAACTTTCCTAACAGAGACATAACTGTTCTATTGCTATTCTGCACAGGACTTGAGCTAGGTGGTCACTGAAGTACGCATGCAAGTTTGAGGCTGGCAAGAGCTGAAAGCATAGTTGTTGTTGACATGGAGTTTGAAATTGAAATTTTCTATGCTTGGCAGTGTGTTCATTTTCAGTCCAATGCTTAAGGAAATCTCCACTGTATTGATATCCTAATTAAAACTAAGTCCACTGCACATTTAAGTAACAGTTACTGAACAGGGGGTATCTGTTGCAAAGCAAAGCAATAATGCTGCCTGCTTTTCTGTAGAACACAAGCAGATTTAAAAGCTGGGTTAGCTTTGGAGAATTTGAGTACCAAGTTTAATTAAAGTCCTCATGAGACCTTGAGTTGTTCATTCCAGATCAGTCCACCTCTAAAGTCTAAGACACAAAATGTTCAGTACCAGATGTCCATTTCTTTTGCCAAAAAATATTTGGAGGTGGTCAATAGGATCTGAAGGGCAACTGTGTTTGGAGGTTTCTATAGGTTCTAGATGCAAGGGCAGCAGTTCTTAAAATTCAGTGACCCTTTATTATATTTGACAGCTCAAAAGCATTTATTTGTATAAAGTAACCATTTGTCTAAATAGTAGAATCTGGTGATGGAGCACACTTAATTTAGCTTGTGTGTATTAAACTACTTCACTGGAGGGGTACAGCTGATTTTTCTTCACTTAGTTTGAAATGCTTTGCTACTGTTTACATACTTACCTATCTGGAAAGCCTGCCACTAGCTCCAGAGAGGAAATACAGATTTAATTTAAATAGTTACTTAGTTAGAAATCTGCTGTTGCCTTTAAGGACTGAAGTACCAAAACTGTTCTAACTTGCTCTTCACAGGTTTGGACCTTATTACACAGAGCCAGTCATTGCTGGACTGGACCCCATAACTTATGAACCTTTCATCTGCTCTCTAGACCTGATTGGCTGTCCCATGATAACTGATGACTTTGTGGTCAGTGGCACCTGCTCAGAGCAGATGTATGGCATGTGTGAGTCCCTCTGGGAACCTGATATGGTGAGTGGAGAGAGGTGGGGATAGTGGCAAGGCTTGCCTAGGGGTTAAACAACCAACCAATTCATGGACTAAATCACTTGTTAATGTGAAGACTAAGATAAATTTGAATGATTTGTGTTGGACAGAGCTTTAAGCTTTCAATTTTGGTGAAAACTTGCTAAATACTGGTTTGGGTTAATCCCTCCTTCTGACTACAAGGATAAGCTCATTACCGCAAAGTGGCCTACAACATCTAGGGGTTGGACTTTGGCCTCATCTAAAAAACTTGGTATTAATCCTGTGACATCCTGCTAAAAGGTTTTCCTGTACCTCTTTCTCCAGGAACCAGATCATCTCTTTGAAACCATCTCCCAGGCTATGCTGAATGCAGTAGACAGAGATGCTGTATCTGGAATGGGTGTGGTAGTGCATATAATGTAAGTACTGTTCCAATGGTCTTTTCCCCTGGAATTTAACACCAAGCTCTGAGAAGTCTTTCAAGGATTTGTCATAAGGCCCAACTGCTCTGGGTTCTCAACCTTATTCTTTAGCCAGATCTTGCCTATGCTAGACTTTTTTCTTAATTTCCTTCCTGTTCCTTTTTTTGCTGGTCCTGCACTACCGATTAGTAAATTAAATTCAGCATAGCCATTGTTAGATAAATTTTCTTAAGGCATTCACCCTATGCATGCAGTATTGTGTAAAGAGAAGGAAGGTTTTTTTCCAGTGGTGGGGGGGGGGGGGGTTGAGTGGTGCAATTGCATTCCTGCCCTTCTCCCCCCCACTTTGATTCCAGCTCCACCTGAACTTTAAAACCAACTGCCTGGCAGTGGCAGCAACAGCAAAGAAGTCTATAGACTTCAAGGCTCATTAGAAGGAATCAGGTAGATTACAAGCTCCTCAGTCCACAGGTGTTAATGGCTTTCTCTCCTTTGTTAATGGTTTTGAAAATGATCCACTAATCCAGCTATTCTTTCTTCAGCAACTCTACTGTCTTATCTGGTCCTTCTAACATGGCACCTGTTTCACAGTCCTGCAGTCTGTTTTTAACTAGAGTTAAAAACATTAACTTGAGTGAACAGCAATGCAGGTGTGGAAATAACTTTCAGTGATGCATTGTCAAGGTGCTCAAGAAAGCTAAATTGTTTTATGAATCTGAAAGAGATGTACATTTAATTCTAATGACAACAGGACTAAAGATGCAACTTTTTGGTTATTTTTTGCCTAGTGTGTTGTTTTTCATACATAATATTATATGATGCAAGCTAATTGCACATTCCAATAAAATTATAAAGCTTTTAGTTCCTTTTTACCTGGAGAAAAATGTGCGCTGTGATGTATATAATGATGATGCACTGTGCCATCTGCATCCCATTTTCAAAATTCTAGATCCACCCATGGCTCTTTCTACTTAAGACAGAAATCATATGCTGTTACTGCCCATCAAGAGCAACTTCCTAGTTCTGTTCAGAAGACTGCTTGGATCAACTAGTCTTTCACTTGTCTCATTGTTGATTTCTGAGCAGTGTCCCCATCCATTGTGTTAGGAGCAAGATTGACAGTTTTCCTTAGTGAGTTGTTCAGAATGCCCAACCTCCGGTCAGGCTGTAGTGAGAGGTGGCTTGTCCTCATTTTGTCAGCAGGTTGAAGAGGAGGAAGAAGCAAAGTATTTGAGGCTTGTTTGGATTTTTCGGCGTAGCTGTCAGATTAGGTCTAATATAAAGCTGCAGCTGCTATTTACTTGATTCCAAGATCAGGTCTTTTTTCCCCCCATTTAACATGAGGGGACAAAATAGCCCCTCATCTTGGAATCAAGGAATGAGTGGTGGGGGGAGCCAGGCAGCTGCTGTGGCTCTCGCTGCCTCCCCCTTGTGTAGCCTCAGGCCCCTGCCTCTATCTCCTCCCTGTGCCTTATCCTTGCTTCATGGCTGCTGCAGCCTGGGGCACAAAGCCTGGCCCTGTAGCAGTGATGCTGGCTCTATGCTGCTGCTACAGGGCTGGGCTGGGGCTGTGCACCATGCCACAGGCTGCTCTCAGCAGAGCGAGGGTAAGGGGTGGAAGGGGAGACAGGTGGAACTGGAAGCTGCAGGGGTGGGAAGGGAGAAGAGCCTGAGGCTGCAGTGGAGCAGGCAGTAGGGGGCAAGCTACTTGTGGGGCCCACCTCCTGCTCTCTTACCATTGCTTTCCCTAATGCAGTAATTCAGGTTTGTCTTGGATTTGGGTAAATATAGTATTTATACTGACTGTTAGTAACTAACCCATGTGTAGTGTCTAATTAGACCCTTCTCTAGAACTAAGTGTCATTTACAGTCAGTCTTTTCTCTTTTTCTGCAGTGAAAAAGATAAGATCACCACAAGAACACTGAAGGCTCGCATGGACTAACTTAAGATGGGGTTTGTTCTTATTTCACATGTCAATCTGTTTGGATTTTTTTTAAATAAAGTTTCTTCATTGTTGGAGATGGCTCTGCTTTTCTTGAATGTGTGTATCAGCATTTAAGTACTCTCACTCATATCTTTAAAGAGTAGATTTGCTTGTTTTTAATCATTTAAAAGTAATTATAAAACAGACATCTTTCCTCTTTGCAACACCCCATGCTAAGTGAAGAAGGATGTTTATCAAATACATGCTGGAGAACTAATAGCATCTCCTTTTGATACTGGGTAAGTTAGGCATAGTGCTTAGGGCTCTAGCTTTTTCTGGCAGTTCTAGGAAACAGTCTCCCAAGTGGCTTGTCCAGCATATGTGGTCCAGATTGGAAAAACAAAACCAAACCCTACAATGTCCTAATTAGCCCATGTAAATTGAGGTACTTCACAACAGATACTTATAGCCTATTCAGAGCAACAGCAACATTACTTTTGCAGTTGTGGGTAATACCATTCTTGAAATTGTAAGAGCAGATAAAAGGAGACTCTTATACAGTTGGGCTGTGACTTGCTCAGGGCCATCAGAGCTCATTTGAAATAAGACAATGAGGAACAGATGTACACAAAGTTTTCATTTTTATTTTTTTTCTTGGTTGAAGATTCATCTTGTAACATGCATGCATTTCAAAACAGTAACAGTGTCTCAAACTGCTCCTAGCAAACAGACAAGCACAGAGGACTTAAAATTCCTATTTAAAAAAAACAAACAACCCCCCCAACTGAAACAGCAGTGAAAATCTAGAATGCTTCATCATTTTAGTTTTAAATTAAATTAAATTTATTCACATTTGTTTTCAGTTGCACTGATCAGTCTTGCCTATCGCTGTGACCTGTAGGTATAACAGTCCAATTTGACATAGCCCAATCAAACTGCATTTATCACACATCTAAACAAAGAACAGCATATGTGCTGAGTGGTTAAAAATGTAAACCACTAAAAAAGATGGATGACCAAAGTCTGTTTCCCCTAGTATTAATGTTGCTATTACACAAGACTTCACATGGCAAGGAAAAGTCAGTAGTGGCTAGTATGATGGACACTGGACAACAGGTTCTTCAGAACGACAAACTGCCAGGAAAGTTTGAAATGGTGCATTAAAAAGCAGGAGGGGAGGGCACTGCAACTTTGTTTTCAAACAACTGTTACAATTACAGTGGGTTTGGAATTATTAGTTACATAATGTTGCAAACAAAAGTTTCAGCATGAACACTGACCCCTGAAAAGTTTTGTGTTTATACCATACAAAGGTTAACACTCCAACCTCTCTGCAGCTGCAAGTGGAGCATCTGTAGAGACTGCATAGTAAATGCAGGTCTATTAATCTGTTGACACCAGAATACAATCCACCATTTTCTCCACAATTAGGTCACAATACAATTTAATCCCATGATATGCCTCTAGTTTCTGTGGTTAAAACACTGGTCCCAAGTTGAAGGCAGCTGTAATAGCCACCTGGAAGGCAAAGCAGTAGTTCTTCTGCCAGATAGGCAAACTGGACATGCCCCTACCAAAATACTTAGTATTTTTACTGTCAGTAAAAATTAAAGCTGAAGTTAGATTTCCTGGAAGTGGAAGAGCAGGCCCTTAGTTAGAATGTAAAGTCAGTATCCAAAGGGATTGTTTTTCATACAGTTGCATGTAACCCCGCTCACCTTTAAACAAAGGGCAAGTTCTTGAATATTTTCATAGGGACATCTTTGGCTCTATCTACTATTCCAGTTGAAGATTCCAAGGCGGTTTTGACCTCTCTGGGATTGGTCAGTCCCAGTTTATTAAAGATAGCTATACTCCCTATCAGGAGCCCAGAAAATGCTTTGTGGGAGGAGTTTTACAATTAAAAGCCACTCCAATCAAAACCATAGTCAGAGGCACTGGATTAAAGTGACACGTAAAAAAGGTTGACCTCAGGGGAGGAGGGAAGAAATGGATCCATTAAAAAGACTGCACCTAGCTTGAAAAGTGAATTCCATAACCTCCCTACTGCCACTCTTGCATGCATCCTGCAACACCAAAGACTACCTGTGCACAAAAGCCACCTGGAAGCTGGCTGGTAATGATGATTAAATTATGGTGTATACAGAGCAAGTGGTTACTATATACTGGGGAGAGGGGAAAGTGCAGAGGGAAGGGGGAAGAGGTCTTTAGCATCCTCTTAAGGGGTTCTTATTGAGCTGGTATGACAGGCCATCTTATAAGTGGCACAACTCCCAAGAGGGGGTAGACCTTCTGGTCTGTACTATCAGCATCCTTTTTCTTCCTCATACCCATCAGTTATTTTGATGTAGGGGGAGGTGTTTCTAATCTTAAAGTTTTTACCTCTCCTTGATATTTACTAGGCCCATGTCAAGATAATGACAGACACCCTAAGCAGTCAGGAGTATATTTCCTAAAAGATCTCCCTTCTAACATACTGCCCCCTGCCTTCTTTTTGGGCTCCACACTACTTTTAAACCTCTAATTGACCTAAAATTGCACAGCATTTGCCAGAAAAAACAAAACAATGTAGCCAATTACTTAATTTTCCTGCAGTTTTGTGGGGATCTAGACAATTGGCTGTTACAGTTTATATTGCAGGCCTACCCTACTACACCTTTTTCCAGCTGAATCTTGGTTTCCAATTGCAATGCACTTCAGTGTAAAGTGTTCTGTAGGGCACAGGCTATAGACAGAAACATCTACATTCAGCAAGCTAGGACAAAGAGTCATAGGAAAAAAAAAGACAAAGACTATCACAGGCAGTTGTATAAAAAAAGAAAGAAAAAAAAGATTAATGGGGTGGTGTTTTTTAAATATTTCAAAGTAAAAGATGACCAAAAACAAGATTAAAACAAAAACAAAAAAAAAGCAAAAAGTCCCTTTTAGAAACAAATCAAATATTTGCAGCTTCACCTCTTATAGTAACAAAAATACTGTCTAGAAACAAAATTAGCATTTTAACATAATGCTACCTCTCAAAATGTAAACAATATACAAAATGCGAATGTTAAACAGTTACATGCCTGGGTAATACATCTTTAAATGAGACAATTGCATTTAATTAGCTTAATACACACTGTATGGCAACATGACAAAAATGGCAAAATGGGGCAAGTGCTAAAGTAAATAGAAAGTTGCAAGGCTTTTATGCCATGAGGTACTGACACCACTGACTGGAGTCTAATAAGTCTTCTCCCCATCTGGAGTGGGAATGTAAAACAATAGAGCCTTCAAATCCTTCATGTCACCTGTTTTGTAACAGTTGCTGCAGGAACTAGTTGTCTTTTGATTATATCCCTATTTAAAGTTCAAGGTTTATTTGGGGTTTTTTTGTTTGTAGTTTTATAGTTGCCCCTAGCTAAACAAGCTTTACCCCTACTGTCCCTGGGCTGCCCATTTAAAACATCTCATGGCAAGATGCCTTCAGCACACTTCCTTATTTGCCATCATTAAAAAAAATGCACATCTACATCTAGCACACTACAAAGTACAACCTAATTTCCCAAAAGGAGAGTGGCAAACTTACCAGGCCAAAGTTGCAGATTCAGAAATTTTTAAAACTGTCAAGAATAAGAAGTAATGGGTATTTAATTCCTATTTCACAGTAGCCATAAGTGCTTATTGTTTTAGAGGAAAGTAACTGACACTAAGGATATTTTCAGCTCTCCCCCCACCTCCCCCATTTTTACAGTTTTTCTCCTATCTGCATTTGGTTTGTGTTAGCTAGACATCCTAGGATGTGTAAGATTCTTGCTAGGCTCTCAGACAATGGCATGTTAAGCACCCCAAATTTACACATAGAATAGACAGTGGATTACAATGGCATAAGAAATTTGTCCTTCAAAGAGAATGATCCAAAAGTGAACAAAAAGATCCATATCCCATTACAACCAACTGTATTCATTTTATATTTCTTTAAACAGTATTTACATTGGACTCTCATAAACTGAGTTCTGAGTCTTGACCTATTCCCCCTTCATTCCCCTATGTTGAAAGCTGTGCTGTTTACAGCAGGAACATAAAGGGAAAAAATTAAAGATATCCTGCATTCAGAATCCAACCAAGGCTAACATTAGTCTAGTTAATTACCAGGATTATGATGAGCACCAGTTATCTCTCAAAAGGATCAAATCCACACAGCAAACTGTAACACACATTACAGCACAGGACACATACATTCTAACAGCTTATTCCTGAAACAAAGGCATATGTGAAAACAGTTTCAAGGCAGATAAGCAAGGTGTGTCAACTGCAAGAGGTTTGTTTAAAAAAAGCCAAAAAAACCAAAACCCCCTGCTAAATCCTGCTTAACAACAAAAAAGCTTTCAAGAGAGACGCATCTGTTTGGGAGCAGACCTAATTAAACTTATGGTAAGTTTGACATGTATGGATGTGAAAAATATTACAAGCGATTAATCAAGAGACAAAACAGGACAGAATTCAATCACACAAGTCTGTTCAAATTCCTTAGTTGAAAAAAATAATCTGGAGCAAGTATTCAGACATAAATGTCCATCAAACTATTGCTCTACCAGACTGTTATGAGCCTGGAGTGAAGCAGAAAAATGTCTACAGCTCAAGTTCAGTTTCCTCTTGTGCAGTGGAACCAGACATGCATCCAAATCTGATACACAGTCACTGCTAACAACACTCTGATCTTAAATCACTGTCAGTTTTCTCCAGATGCAAATTGCACGGACTATTTTTGTTGTTAAAACCTCTCTCAGGAAGCAAATTTAAGTACCTATTGCAGGATCATATGAGTTAGGAAAACTGAATGAACGTTAGCTAGATTAACATTGGCAGAACAATTGTCAACTATTTTTAAAAGTTAGGGCAAATACATGATTGTGTCAGAGAAAGGAGGGGGCATTCTAAACAGTCAAATGTTGTCCCAAACCTACCAGTAAGTTAGCATGATATTTTTTATTTTTTAACTTTCGTGGAATCTTCACAGTTACCATACCACAGCACGATGGTTCAGGATAGCCCCAGAAATTACATTATTTAAGGACTATCTATGTTTCATACTGCTTTTTAGGTTTTACAATTTATGCCTTTTGAATGATCATCTTTGGCAGATGTTTGTTTCCCTCATTTTTCTTGTAAAAATCAAGTGCAGGTAAAAATTTCCTTTTTTAAATTAACCCAATATATATATATGTATATATATAAAAAAATGTCCTAGTCTGATTTTACCTAGTTAAAAGTTCAGCAGCTCAGAGTAACAGTTTCATCCTTGACATGGTGAACTATTTTCTTTCCAATTCCTACTGAGAGAGAAGTAAAAGGGTCTTGTACAGCTTTCTGTTAAAGGCAGTCCAATAAAAAGAACAGCAGTTTGTGGAATTAGGTATTGTGTCACTTTGGATTTAACTCAAGCTAATGTTTGACTCCATATAAATAGCGCCAAGGATAGTACCCCTACTGGCTTCTCTTGATCAGAGAGGAGAAAGTCTTGTTTATACATAGCAGTGGTGAAGCAATGATACTTTTTTTTTTAAGCCCTCAAGTCTATGTCTGGGCACATTTGTAACAATGAAAAAAATGCTCTTCCACTTGGTTCAAGCGGATTATTGAAGAATGAACCTAAAATTAGTTTCCTTTTAAATCATACACGATCTCACGCACAGGCGCACACCCCCCCCACATGCTGCTACAGTGTCTGTTTTAGTGTCACAGGCTGCATTCTCTGTTTTTAGGAGTAGCCCTCTTCTCTTTCCGTCTCACTGAAGGTTGAAGATGACTATGTCAGGATATTGGACATAAATTCATTGAAGCGTTTAGAGTACTGTTCTGGGTTCACTGTAGAGATCTCTGCCCCAGCCTACAACACACAAAGGACAGATTTAGGCACAGGGTCCAATTGTTGGGAGAGCTCTAAGAGCACTACTATAGCTGCAGACAGCTCTTCATTAAAGCAGGCTAGCCCAAAGGGAGAGGGGAGTTAAGAGGAGGTGACTGCATCAGCACAGCAAGGCAGCAGAGGAAAACACACCAGAATCTGCAAGTGACAGTGGCTGCCAGCACCCTGACAGCTCAGGGTCTAGACCTCAAAGAAAGTGAATTTTAAGTCTAAATGTGGGGCTTTTACATAATAGAATGAAGTTTCAGTTAAGTTCCCATATAGGAAGGATGACAAGGCACCACCACAGCTCACCCAGCTGATAAAGGGTCAGAAGAAAGTTAGCCTGAACTCCTGGACCCATTTGCACTTTTTATGGTGCTTGAAAGGCGAGTGCATGCTGATCAGCCCTGAGGCATGTTGGCTATGCTTTAACTGCTTTGGGGGTACAAGACTTCAGTCCCCAGGGCTGACTTAGAGCACTTTCCTCTGCCCTGCAAAGTGACTAGCACTGGCAGGATGGCAAGGGGAAGAAGAAGGTTTGTCTAATAGATTCTTAAATGATTGGGTCCTGTAACCTAGCAGGAGTTATTTGTGCTGTTTAACTGGGGGAGATCTGAGCTCTGGCTGCTCCCTGAGTCGAAGACAAAAGCACCACAAAGAATCAGATCCTGGAGAAAAGCAGGTTCAGAAGCACTACAACAGGCCCCAGCAACAATCATATCGTTCTGCAGGGGGAGGGAGGATGCCTGCAATGGGAACTTTTAGGAACGGAAAGGGGTATTTGAAGGTCCCTGAAAAACTGGTTACAGTCGTTAAGTAAAAGAAGTCAGTGCGACATACAAAGCAAGACGACACTCAGCACCTTGTGACTTGTTGGAGTAGGGAGGGGACAGCAGCTTACCCCGTGTTTTACTGTTTTGGCAGCATGTGCAGCTTTCTTCTTTGCATCATATGGCGTGAGAATGTCTATAATGGCCATGAAATACACCTCCTTCTTGGGGGCACCTGAGAAACCAAAAACACCCTCTTTAACAGACCCCAAATTACACCACCCACCTACAGCTGCCTCTTTTAGCAAGTATAGAGCAAGTCTGCCTTAATGTAATTAAAAGGCAGGAGAGCAGGAGGCTGGAAGTGGTTGGAGGTTTTAGGAAGTGGAACATAGGAGCCACACATCAACACTATGCACACCAACACCCACATTTACAGCCTCATTTTCACAGAGTGCAACGCTTACCATTCACAAGCAGCAGACCCAAGGAGGGGTCCTGACCACTCTCTGGATATCCTACCTCCCTTCAGCCCACCCAAAACAAAGAGTATACTTTGTGCCCTTAACCACTTCCTACCAGGCCCCTCTGACACTCACTTTCGTGGCTTTTCATGGCGTACACATCAACAGAAGGGTCAAATTCCCCAGGCCCGAAGAACCGTGGGTAGTTGAGGAGGTTTCCTGGGCTGTCCGGAGGGGTCCCGTAGGAAGAAATGGGATTCCCACCAATGCCATCGTTCTCACACTCCTCATCCTCAGCTCGATCCTCTACTTCCATCTCTTCCTGCTCTGCCCGGTCAACATCATGAATACCTACCAGCAGGCTGTAGTCCATGATCTTTAGCTGAGCTAAAAACTGGGAGGAGGGAAGCAATAAGGATAAAGGGATTTCAGCTGGGGGAGGGGTACCTGCATGGAAAACTCATCTAAACTTTAGCAGGTAGCCAGTGCTGGCTCCTGGGCACATGATCTTGTGGCTGGAATAGGGACTGAGACCTTCTTGGCTCTGGAAGAAAGTGCGACTTGCCCCAAGGGGACATCCTGAGCCAATACAGAGCCGGGAGGAGAACTCAGGAATCTTGTCTCTGAGAACCTGACGTGTGTGTATGTGTTCATGCACACAAGCTTGAACTGAGCACAGACTGATGCCAACAGTGACAGAACAAACTGGCTGCCATCTCAGTGGTGGGGAGAAGATGATTTTTGGTACATCTTGTGCCAAGCTAGGTTGTGACCAGGAAACTAAGGCAATATGAACAAGCTGTTGCTTTAGCTCTGGGCCACCTGAATGGCATAGAGACCCCTGTTGTGCAGTCTCAACCTCTCAGGTACCCATAGGGTGGACATGCTTTTGCTTCCCTCTTCAGGGAATTGGGCAAAATACCTGCAATATGTAGCACAGTCCTTTGCTCCCTCCAGGTGATCCAGAGAGAAAAGGAGGTTTCCCTTTTGGGATAGAAATGCCATGAACTTGTGAGAGGATCATACCAGGTAAGACCTGGACAGTGGGATAGATCTAGGCCAGGTAACTAATAACAGAAAAAATCAGTCTGTAGGGCTTTCTAAGATGACACACTCAGAGAAGCTGGAGCTGCTGAAATATTGGCACCATGGATCTAGTAAGCAGCCAGTTTTCACCTCCCCTCTCCCCCGCAATGAGACAACACTGCATAAACCAAAAGGACCCTCTCGTGTTGGATGCTGTCAGGGTACAAACAGATGCAACAAATTTATAGTAGCGTAGAATGATACTGGTATGAGATGTAACCATTGCACAGTAACATCTGCATGCTCCCATAGCATAAGCATAGCAAAGTAAGTTCAGCAAAAAACATTGTAACTTTAACTTTTTTCATTTAGGTTTACCCCAGGTTTGTGTTCCCTTTTACACTGTAGGAGTGGGCATACACAGCACTTCCAGTGTAACAGATGATGCTCCCTCCCAAATGGCAATTCCTTCTTCCCTTTTAACATGCTGGAAAGTTACATCTGCCTGCAGCCTCAAACAGGTTCATGCATTAGATGCACCATAGGCCTCCCATGCTAGATCAGAGCAGTGTTCCTATTGCTCTGTGTGCACCAAGGTGCTTCCTGATGCACTTGGGGCTGGGACAAAAAAGATCTCTGCCCTTTTCTGCCTCCCCCCACCCGCGATCGACTCTGTAGCAACAGCACTAAAAACCGAACAATTTTAATTGTTGCCACTGTTTCATCTGGCCAACAGAGTGCTCCATGCTGCCAAGTTGCTCACAACAGCTGAGCTGTCACCAGTTCCAAGCTGCTCACAGTGACACTACGAGCCCTAATTCAACTGTACCTCCACGTCCCGCCTTAGCTTTTCCAAGAAGTTCTTTTTACTCTCCTCTCCGACATGGAGCTTCTGACCTTCATTCAAGAAGTCATTGTCTTTGAACGTTGGCAAATCCTTGGCCTATGAGACAGCAAGAGAAGGGACGGGGTTAGACTACGCGAGACATTAAGCTGAACTCCATCATCCACAGCCATTGGCTATTTCATTCTTCGGCAAAACACTGATTTGAAGAAATAAATACATGACTGCCAAAGGCAGCAGGCAAAGCACTATCTTTATAAATTAATCCATTGGCTTAGCTTTATCTAAGGGGAATGCACTGGGGATCCTGACAACAGCTTCATTTGTTTTTCTATGCTGTAGTGGAACCAGGACAGGGGACGGATCAACTGACTAGGTCCTGCAGAAATGCTTTTTCCTTTTGCCTCTGCTCTCTGCCACTGTAAGATGCAGAACACTGGGATAGAAAAAAATGTTTGGTCTGACCCAGCAGGGTTTTTATGTTCTTGTAATTTCAAAGGCTGCCAGGAATATTTGCTTCAGGCTGAAAGCTGAATCAACTGCATTTCAGACAGAGAGGGGTCGGTCTAGCCAGTCTGAAAAATAGAAAATTAAGTCATGTGGTTGTTTTCATATTAGGGAATCTGGAGAAATGCCTTCTCTCCTCCTAATGATTACATAGAAAACCAAACCATATCATTGGGAGGACTGAATATGGACCAAGCATCTTTCCGGTTTAAATGTTTTCCATAGATAACTATAAGCATACCATTGTCTCACATTCAGCTTATGGTGTATTGCAGGGGCAGGCAAAATATGGCCCGCAGGCCACATCCGGCCCACCAGGCCATTCTATCTGGCCCATGGAGCCCCTAAAAAATGTAGTAAATTAATATTTATTTGCTCCCTGTCAAAGCTGGCTGGAGACAGGGGCAGTAGGACCCAGAGGGAGCCCTCAGCTTGCTTACAGGCTTGAGCAGCCCAGCCCTGCCCACCCCCAGCCAGGTCCCTGCTTTCCTGCCCCCGCCTTGCTCCAGCACCACCTGGTTGTGGCTTCTGGCTGCATCCCAGGACCGTGGAATATGGGAGCTGTGCTGGTAGGGGTGTGTATGTGTATGTACGTATGTGTGCAGGCACAGGGGCAGAGAATGTGTATGTGTTCATAGGGCGAGTCCCACACGCACACCCCTCCATACACATCCACCTACACATGCCATTCACAAACCCCAGCCACCCTCCCCCCATACCCACTCACACCCCACCTACCCACACACCCACAGCCCCCACAATATACAAAAATAAGACTTCATTTTAAGCTATTGTGCAGTCACCTCTGCGTACACTACACAAACACATGCAAATCAGGACAACAATCTTTTTTTAAATCAAATTAATGAATGTTGTAGATGATCACTTTTTAGAATATAATTTGGTATTTTTCTGGTTCTGAGATGGCAAAACTCCTCGCTGAAAGGAGTACTTCTGGGGGCAAGGGGAGGAACTTCTGGTGGCAAAGGTGAGAGGTTAGGGGGTGGGACTTCTGGTCACAAGATGTCACCCAGGGGGCGGGGCACCTGTCAAGGGGCCGGGCTACCCAGACAGCCTTTGACAGCTTGCCAAAACTCAGCAAGCTGCCCTCCACCCAAAATAATTGCCTGCCCCTGGTCTATTGTAACCCCCTGGCCCTTTTCTGTGAAAGTATCCTTCCATGAACAGTTCCACAACCCTTCTGTACAATTTGGGATTATATTTGTTTATTCTTAAAACGATGCACCAATCCTCAACCCTCTTATAAAAATATTATATCAAGGGTCTGATATAAAGTGGTTTTTTCCCCCTCTTGCCTGGTTATTTGAAAGTAAACTCATAACTTCAGCTATAAAAATCAGTAAACTCATAAAATCAGACAACTGAACAACAGTAAGGCGGCAACAGGTTATGACAAGGGACTGGAGCTTTAAAATGTGAAGTAGGAATTCCCAACTTGTGAGATGACACATTTTTGGGAGTCCTCTGTGTAAAGAGGTGAGACAATCATCTAGGCAGAGACACTGAGATCAGCCAATTTATCATTCCCAGCTCACTCTTCTTGAGTTTGGAACACCTTCCTAGGGAAACAAAAAACTCTTCTGCAATTTTTGCAACAACTCATGACCCTGACTGACTGTGCTCAACTATATTCAGTTGTTCTGCTGTTTGTTGCATCCCATCCCTTCCTGCAAACCTTTATAGGATCATAGGAAAGTAGGGCTGGAAGGGACTTCACAAGGTCATTTAGTCCAGCCCCTGCTCAAGGCAGGATCATTCCTGAATAATCCATCCCAGCCAAGTGTCTGTCCAACCTGCTCTTGAAAACTTCCAAGGATGGAGATTCCACAACTTCTCTAGGTAGTCTGTTCTAATGCTTGAACACCCTCATAGTCAGAAAATTCCTCCTAATCTCCAATCTAAATTTCCCCTGCCAAAGCTTGAGGCCATCACTCCTAGTCCTGTCTCTTTGGTCACAGAGAAAAAGAAAAGCCCATCTCCATCTTCTTTGTAATCACCCTTCAGGTATTTGAAGATGCTCAGTCTTCTCTTCTCCAGATTAAATAACCCCAGTTCCCTTAGCCTCTCCTCATAAGTTCTGCCTCCTAAGTCCCTAATCATTTTTGTGGTTTTGCATTGAACTCTTTCCAAACTGTCCCCATCCTTCTTGGAGTGTGGGGCCCAACACCGAACACAGTACTCCAAGTGAAGTCTCGTGGTGCAGAATAGAGCAGAAGAATCACTTTCCTTGATTTGGAAGTGGCAATTCTGTTAACACAACCCAGTACACCATTAGGTTTTTTGGGGGTTTTTTGTTTGGGTTTTTTGGGGGGCGGGGATTTGCAACAAGAGCACACTATAACCCCTCTGGTTCTTCCCTGTGTAAATATTCTCCCAGACCATGTGCTGCAATTTCAGTAAAACCTTTCATGGTGGCATTCAATATGGAAGTGCTTGCAGAATCAACATTGTAAGTGAGAAGCTCTTTAGAGCAGAGACCTCAGGCCAGATTCCCAAAGGTATTCAGATGCTGAAGGATGCTGCTGTTTGCTTAGTGGGATTTGCAAAAGCGCCTATCCTGGTAGAGTGAGTGCCTGACTTCTGATGTGCCACCTTGCCTTCACAAACCTCTGCAGAGCCATACCACTGCCAGCCTGCAGGCAATCTCTTCCATGATTACTATGCTCTGCTCGACATGCTCTTAGAGCTGCTCAGACCATGATTCAGTGATTCTTTGACAAGGTGAATCTTCCATTCAGTTGGTAGTTCAACTTGTCCCCTTTTTCTTCACTGTTCAGTGCTCCTTTAGTCCAGAGAAACAAGCAGCTGGACCTACCCCACTTCTAAGCAATGTTAGGAATGAGAGACAGTCCTCGAATAGGCATGATAGTAGGATCATCCTTACCTTTTCTTTATCACTTGCTTCCCTGGACACTGTTGAGCCCTGATAAGAAGAGGAAGACACTGTATTACATTACATTACATTCACCTGCAGGAGCCATCCAATTAATCATCACTAAAAAGTACTGGCACCATATCTTACAAGTTTATTTTTAAATGCTTTTTTGCTTCTGATTAACAGGTTCCTTCACATAAAAATATGTATTTTAACAAGCCAATGTAAACAAGACAGTCAGGGCTGGCTGGAGAACTCAGTCCCTGCCCCCCATATGTTATACAGTCTCTCTAATACTGTACCCAAGGATTTAAGCACTGCAGTTTGAAACCTTGATTTACAAAAAAAACCTCACACTTGATCAAGAGAAGAGATTGCCACCTTCCTTTATATCTGCCTGCTCCTAGCTATAATGGGTGGTAGGATGCTAGACAAGATGTCTCACTGGCCTGTATGGCAATCCCTACATGAACCTTCTTCTCTTATTGCCCCTGGCCTGAATATTGGGGACCAAGGGGGTGAAAATCCTGACCCTACTAAGATCAATGACAAAACTTCCCCATTAACTTCAATGGTGATGATACAGCCTGAGAAAGCCATCTGCACATTCAGTCACACTCATGGAGGGAGAAGAGACTGGTAGCGGATACAAAACTGAGATAGTTATAAGCCACAGTTTGCTGGTGTTTCTCTCGGTATCTGAGCCAGATGTGGGTGTCTACATTTTCAATTCTACCTCCGTGACACCCAAGTTCATGGCTTTTCTCAGCATTAGCTTGCAAAAAACCTTCTAAGCTTTACTTAATGAGATGCAGCTCATGTGCTCACTGAAGAAAAGGTGGAGCTCTATTTAGTGAGGTTCATTTGGGATAGGGACTCGTGATAAAGCTGAGCTAACAAAGAGAAGCAAATATTTTTCTTTAATGCTGAACATTTTTGAATATCCAGGATTACCTGGGTGCTTATCTTGGCTACAAACTCTATGAGACTTCAAAGCCAGGACCTAGAACTTCCTACCCTCCACACTCAACTACCTCTCTCCCTGAAGGAGAGCCACAAAGCACAAACTGCTTGTGTGTCTTCTTTACAATTCTTCTGTCATATAAAGCCATCTTCAGTGTTATGAATTTGAGGTCTCAATCACCTTCTTTTCATCGAGGGGATTTACTGAGTTTCAGAGGGGTAAGATGACCCTGGACCTGCTTTGATGGGACTTGCTTGTACTCAGTAAGTCCTTCTGCTTCAGGGAAGGGCTGGCACAAATGCCAGTCAAATCTTTCAACCTCAAGTGATAACCCCATTTAGGCTTTCCAAAGTTTGACAAAGTCCTCCATGAAAAAAGAACTTAGAACTTTGTTGATTTGGTCTACAAAACACAATTTAAGATACCCCAGAAGTAGCACCCAGGTACATCTTTATGGGGAAAAAAAGACAGGAAGCCTTAAAATCTGTGGCTTACTAACCTGGAATGGACTTGGCCCTGCCCAACCCTTACCTTCAGGTCATACTTCCGATGCACGGTCAGCCTGTGACTAAATACATTCCGTGTGACAACCATATAGGTTTCCACGCCATCCACAGTAAGGCGGTACATGCCAAGAAACTGGGGAAGAAGTGTGTTTCCATGGCATTCCACTATGAACTGAAGAGGCACAGGGTGAAAAAAAAGAAGATATCAAACTATGGATCTCTTGGAGTGTTACACCGTAAAATCATAGAAAATTAAGGCTGGCAAGGACCTCAGCAGGTCACCTAATCCAACCTTCTGCTCAAGGCAGCCAGGTGACAAGCTAGATTTCTAGTTCCACTCAGCCTGGGGCTGTTAATAACCACCCAAGACCTCCACTTAAGAAAAGGAAGAAGACACATAATAAAACAAGATGCCACAGCAGGATGGCTAACTGATCCTGCAAGAGGGGAGTAGAGCGTTTCCGGATAAGCCAACTGACTTAGCACACATTACCCTTCACTCCACCCACTAACAGAATAGCTTTTCCCCCATCCTATTCTGCTGGGCAGGATGATCCCACATGTCTCAATACAGTCTGGGTCTCTACAGCTTTCAGGCATTGGCAAGTTGATACTTTGGTGGAGGCAGATCAAAGGTGCCGACATTATTAGAAAGTGAGCTGTTAAGCAGAGATCTGGCCTCTGGCAAGTTCAAGATCCCACAGGGCTCTGAAAGGGGTAAAAGGAGACTATAGGGCCACTGACAACCAGCAGCCTCCACCTAAACAAGCTCACCTGTGCTGTACTGTTGGTAAGCCATAGCTAGGGCTGAAACAGTATCTTTCTTTCAATCTGAGTGCTCCCCTGCTATGCATTAGATATTCCAAGACACTATCCACCTCCCAACCCATAGGCTTCTAGACTCACCGTACCTGATGGTACTTCTTCAAGATGTTGTGCATCTCGGCTACATCTTCACTTGACACTGCCTTGATGACAAACCTCCTGTCATAGGTGGTGAGGAAACGGGCCCCACAGCGACCTTGGCTGTCACTGTTCACGGGGGCACTTCGGGTTACAGAGTTCTGCAGGGAGTCAGAATTAAAATAAGAGGAGAGGGGGGAGAGGAGGATATTGGTCAGAGGAAACAGGAATGCTGTATATCTCTGAAAGAACAGATAAGGCATTTGAAAAATGGTGGGTTGACAGCCCTGGCACTCTCTATTTATATTCTCAACAAGATACATGGGACTGTCTTTCAGCTCTGTGCATGTACAGCACCTGGCATGGTGGGATCTTAGTCACCGGTTGGAGTTTCTGAGTCCCATGCTAATTCCAATAAAGGGAGTTGTTGGATACTCAATAGTTTTGAAGATCAGGTCACTTAAATAAGTGTCTTTATAACCCTAACTTTGGGCCTACATTTTGAACGTGTTGGTCTTCAGTGTACTGACACATTTAATTCCTCTAACACATATTGGAGGAAGGAAGCCATTGCTAAAGAACCATTATTTTTTTGACAGGGTGAGAAAAGTGTGAGAGTTCATGATGCACCTGGCTCCACATCTTCTAGATTTCCTCCAGCCTCCAGACAGTAAATCTGGTATTTCTGACACTTCCAAGGCATAAAAGACAAGCAGAAAATAACTACAAATTTAACACAAATTCTGTACTGATAAGCAAAAGTGTAATTGCTTGGGAATTCCTCACAGGCCATCTTTAAATCCAAAGCCAGGCTTTTCCTCTGCTGTTCTTATTCACTGAACATAAAAAGCGGCTGTTCTCTCTTTACATTCCTCTCCCCACCCTTTGCAATGAGACACTGCGACTTCTTGGCACTCATTGCATAAGTAGAATATCAACGTTGAGCTGCAAAGCAATCCATTATGGTAATCTGTGTGCAATAAAACCCTCTCCTTCTGTTGACCACATCATTTAATGAGTAGCCTCAGGTCCAGAGGAAGATAATACCTTGGAAAACAACACTAGAAAGGGTAGCAGCACAATACAATTTACTTAGCCAATAAGGCCAGATCCATTCTAGATAATTTCTACCCTCCTTCCCTCTTAAAGAGTTTTCCAGCACTATGACCTTAGTCCTGCTTCACTGGTGGTGACAGAGTGGGGCCAGCAGTAGAACAGATGGCATTCAGAGATCTGCTGGCACATTATGCATTGTTTTTTTTTTCTGGGTGCACCAAGCCAGGTTAGATAATAAGGCAGTCAAAATGCCAGTGGATAGTTTGCACTTGCCCCCTCAGTGCTACTATATCAGTGAGACACTAAGTCTAGCATAGACATCCTCTTAGACAGTGAGAGCTCTTTTGTATTGGGGGCTTTGTGATGCTGAGCATGTTACAGATGCAAAGAGATACATCGATACATTGGTCCAACATCAGATTGGCACTAATGCAAAGAAAATTGATTGTCTCAGAAAAATTGGCCTGATGTGGCCAATAATTTGGCCAATAAATGCCCGTGTGTGCATGCAGCCACAGTACAGCACACAGGCAGCAAGGAGCACAGCCCAGCAGTGTGGAGAGCTGCACGCAGCTGGTAAGTCTGTTCTGGTAGACAGGGAATGGGGAGGGAATAGGCAGATCAACACCCCCTGAAGTGAGAGAGGGAGTAGGGCAGGAGATGTGGCGGGGCGCAGGACAGAGCAGAGGCTTGTCTGGGGGGGGAGGGGGGGGGGAGCAGCTCCTGCCACTGCATGCAACCTGGGAGAGTACGGGGGGGGCGGTGCCCCCAGATCTGCAAGGGGTGGGGTGGCACAGGGTGAAGCAGGCTGCAGCTGTGCCAGATTCTTCCCAGCCGAGGGGGGGACTGAGCTGCGCAGCATTTGGGGCGAGTGGCAGTGGCACTGGGAAGGTGGGCTACAGAGGGGACACATGCACAAGACTGCAGCCACCCCAAATTTTGCTGTAGCCCTCCCCCATAGCCTCTCTTCCAGTGCTGCTGCCACCCGCCCTGAGTTGCAGCGCAGCGCAGCGCAACCCAGCCACCCCCAGCAGTAAGAGCCTGGTGCAACCCATGGCTGCAGCCCACCCCACCCCACACATATCTGAGGGCAAGTGCCCACCGCTCCCCCTCCCCCCCATGCCCTCCTGGGGTGCACACAGCAGCAGGAGCCGCTCTCCCCTCATGCCCCGCCAGACAAGCCCTGGCTCCGTCCCACGCCTGCCCCAGCCCCTTCCCCACTCCCTCCCTAACCGTGAGGGGTGTTGATGCCTCTCCCCTTCTACCACAACAGATTTACCAGCTGGACACATCTGTATTGGAAATTGGATCGGTATTGGCCAATATGCCTCCTTAAAAAAAAACGGCTATCAGTATTGGCCCCCAAAATCTCTATCGGTGCACCCGTAGCAGAGACAATCCCTGCCCCAGACAGCCTGGTGTCCAAGCACCTTTAGGAGGCAAGGCTGAGATCCTCAAACCTATTTAAATACTTAAGTTCCATCAATGTCCTTTAACAAGCTGGACTTCCAATTCTTCCAACAAGCTGCAGACCTTCAGTTGAGCACTAAGGTCAAACCAACCTACCCATGAGCTTTTCAGTCTCTAACAAACAGATACAATGAGATTCTCAGCACTCTCCTGCTGCCCCTCATTCTCACCTGCTTGACAAGAACAGCTCACTTGCCCCTTTTCCACTTTGCTTATAAATTCTATAGGAGGTAAAGGTTACAACATGGATCAAGGTCCTCGGTACCAGATGCTGCACATACGTAAGAAGCCATCCTTGACCTGAACAGTTTCCTGTCTACACAGACAGGAGAGAGAAGAAGTGAGGAGCAGTAGAGGCAGAGAGAGGTGAAGCAACCTGTGGAAGGACACACAGGAAGTCTATAGCACAGCATAGAACTGATCTCCAATCCAGTGCCCCAGCTATGAGACCAGCCTTCTTCTCCTTTAAAGATAAACTCCTTTCCCAGCCCATTTGTTTCCCCTATGGGTAAGCCTGCGTTTTATCTGACTCCAATATACTCTTCATTATTTTGCCATTCCCTTACCTATTCAAACAAGCCAATGCCCACATTTGTATACATGCTCACACATGCACATCTGTATAAAGGATATGGGTTTTTTTCAGCCAGATATACAGGTATGTCTTAGGATCTCCATGGCAGATGATGTTTTGTTCCATGTTTTTATGCTAGTAATTAATATTCATTCTTTTCCACCCACACGGCTTTGTGAAAGTGAACCAGTAGAGGGAGCCTGGTTGTCTGCTCTTGCAAGGCACTAGACAGCGAGGTAAACAGAGTCTCATTGAGAAGGTAGGGGATTTTTCAGAGTCTAACTAAAAAGGAATTGAGAGGAAAGACTTTTTATTCAGAATAAAGCCTCTGAAGCATTTTATGTTTAAATGCAGTTGAGGAGAAATTCTATAACTGTCAATGGTTTCAGAAACAGTCAGAAAAGAGAGGTGGGGAGGGAGGAAAGAAAATCTTATTTCTTGCTGACGTTCACAAATCAGTAAGTGCTGTGTAGTCTAACACCCACCACCTCCAAAACCAGACTTGCTACCATAACGCCCGTTTCCTTTCTTATAGGCAAGACAGGAAGCAAAAATCCTGACCATATGTGGACATTACAGGGCTCAGAATCCAAAATGTATGTTACTGCCTTTCCTTCCAGCACAGGGTGTTAATCTTACCAGGCTGGCTAAATTCCCATCCAGAAGCAGGCGACAATAATGATAAAGAGCTTTGAAAGCAAACCATGAGAAGTTAAAAGAAATAGGCATGTTCAGTTTGCAGCAAAAGTGATTAAAAAGGGGCATAATAGTAGCCTACAAATATCCAAAGGGCTGCCATACAGAAGAGGGAGAACATCTTTTCTCGTTTGCCATAGAGGGCAGATCACAGAAGCTGGCTCAAGGCAGCACCAGGGCAGATGGTTTAGATTGGATACCAGGAAAAACTTCTTCATTGCTAGAACAGTGAGGCAGTGGAACAGGCTGGCTAGGGATGTTGTGGGTCTCCATACCTGGAGGTGTTCAAGAAGAGGATGGACAAGCATTGGTCAGGGATGATTTGGGGTAGCTATATCTATACTATGCTATGTGTATTTCCTACACTTCTGAGCTTTGCTGTTTGCCATGAGGAGCTGGGAAGGAATTTTTCCCCCTTCTGTTGCTGCATGTGTCAGGGATTGGGTTTGTTTTGCTTTCCTCTGAATTATTGGGTGTTGGCTGCAGCCAAGTCTGGAGACTGTGATGGGGTGTGCCAAAGCTCCTGCTGGCACTAAAACCCAGAGGTTCCTGGCTGGACAGGTCTCGCCCCTTCACTCAGGGTCTGTCCGATCATCACATCTGGGGTCAGAAAGGAATTTTACCCCATGGGCAGATTGGTAGGGACTGTGGGGGCTTTGCTTTTTTCTGTAGAAGGGGGCATGGCCCTCTTCCTTGGATCTCGAGAATATTTTAAGAACCCTTGCAGCAGCTGGACACTGACTGCTCCAGCCCCGCCTTCTTTACCTGTGGCAGTTTAGGCTGCTGTCTTGTAATTGTGTAACAGGGTTGATTTGTATATTTTTAATAATAGGTTAAATAAGGATTTGTATGGGATAGTTTGGAAAGGGATGATCCTGCCTCAGGCAGTGGGGTGGACTAGATGACCTCCAGAGGTTCTTTCCAGCCTTTCTTTTTTATGATTCTATGAACTAATTATATCCTGCCTACCTAAGCTTAAGCTGGAAGTTCATCTGAATACAGCATGCTCCACTTCCTGTCTTACACACTGGAACAACATGCTCTTAAAGAGCTAACATGTTCCACCCTGGAGGTGGGAGAAGTTTTCCCTCTGCAGTGACAGGCACCACATAAATGACAGATTAGGCAAGAAAGAAATGACAAGATAATGAGTGTTTCCAGGTAAGTTTTGTATTATTCAAAAGCTGCTCCTCAGAAAAAAGATATCTAGGCTACATAAAACATATCACAGCACATTAGCCAGAGGACAAAACTAATAAAAGCAGAGAAAGAAGCTTAACTACTTTCACAGGAACAGGTGTGAGAGGCAAGTTCAAGCGTGTGAAACCAACACAGTTATTTCTTAAAGACACCCACATCCAGATCAACTATGGCTAGGATGGGCTAGTCCAAGCTTCCACCTCAAGACTGGGATAAAGCCTGGCATGAAATCAAGCCAGCAGACCAGGCAGCAGCAGCACTTCCTTTGTCAGTACAAAGTAATCGCTGTGCAGAAAATGCAGTTGACAGCTAAAGGAAAAATAGGAAGGTTTGGCAAGCTACAGCCGGGCTCTTCCACACCATCAGGAGGGCCTCTGTGTTTCTGGAAGGCAGGCACTCGTTCATTTGGCTCACACGAGCTACGTGAATGGGCTCTCCTGGGATTTCTCCAGACTCCAAAGAGCATAGGTATCAAATACAACATACTACAGGTCCTGACATCTTCCCCCAGGCTGTACGTCACGACTATTCACACCTTTACAGTTATACCAGGGACAGGCCCAAAGGGCACAGCCCACAGACATTGGGTCTATTAGAAGCACACAGCCTATGCCATGCCGCTGTGTCCAGCAGTAGGACATGCACTTAGGCTAAGCATAAAACCAGTGCTTCTCAACCTTTTTAGACTCAAGGCCCCTCTCAAAAAATACAAGCTCATAGCTTTCACTTGTTTTTTGACTACAAAAAATAGAGCAATTCTTCTGTTGCAAAAAACTCAAAGCCCACTGCAGGTCAGAATGGTTTTGGTATTATGGATTCCTATGGGAAATCTTTGGTCTATCTTGCGAATGATGTTTGCACATCTAACAGTGCTAATGCTGTGTGTCATCTTTAAAAGGATCTCAAGGCACTCTAGTTGAGGATCACTATATTAAATACTTCCACCACAAAAGGGCACCATCAGTAGCCACCACCCAACTCACTTCTGCATTCTTTTAATCAATACCAGTAGCCAAATGTTTGATGTTTGCTTTTTACATTCTGGTGCCTTTTCCGGATAGTTTCCAAGTTCCTCACAAAAGCATTAGTGACTTCACTGGGTGGGGTGCAGGGAGTGTCCATGATCTTTTATAAGATGTGAAAACTATATTGTCTGAATTCCTGTTCCCACAAGTCTGCACTCAATGCAGAGCACATAGGAGTCCTGTCTTCTCCAACTCAAACTCCAGTGTGCCACTTCCCAAACCAGTGCACAGGCAAGAGTTTAGTAAGAGGAGAGTGGGGCTCCAAAATTATGAAAAATATCCAACAGTGCCTTGGTCAAAACATTTCTTTGCTAATGACTGAACCCAACTTAACAGATGATCATCTCTGGCTCCTCTCCTGCACTTTATCACCAGATATCAGTGCATTTTACACAGCAGGTCAGCATCATCAATCCCCATTTTGCAGATGGGGAAACCAAGGCATGGGAAGGTGAACTCGTTTCTCCCATATCACCCACAGCCCAAGGAGGAGCCAAGAATCGAACCCTTTTCTCTGAAGTCTCAGTCCAGTGCTCTATTACCTAAGTTAGACGCTTCTTTTCCCCTAGAGCTGAACACTTTACAGAGCACATACTACAGGCATTTCTGGACTTCAGTGCCCAGAAGTGGAAAAGTTTTCCCATCCCAAATGACTTTCAGCTGAGATTTTCCTGTGTGCAGTGAATCATTCAACTGCAGTTGTGAAATGCTCAGCAGGTGCAAACACAATCTCTCTTTACAGTCACTTCTGCTCTACCTTGCACAGTAACAAGTGGGTTGGCACAAGGGTGAGAGGTCTGAAATCCTATGATTGATTTCTCATTGTGAGGATCAGACTATTACAAAAAAATAAGCAATGAAGAAAAGAAAAAAAAAAACTCTGTTGTTCAGCTCTGGGAATCAAGCTTTGCTCTGAAAACATCCTGTGTGAACCCAGCCTGAAGGCACTAGTCTTCAGGAGACTAGAAGGGACTGTTACGAGGTGGCAAAAGGGAATAGGGGGAGAAATGGAGACAGATCTAGAAAGCAGCCTGTTGATTCTGTCATGCTCCTAAGAGATAGCCGTTGTGCTGGGGCAGCCCCTTTTCAACGCCCCTTTTCAACTAAGGATCACACTTAACATACCTGCTTTTCTGGGAGGAGAAACTGAGGCTGAGAGCTTAGGTGACTAGCCTAAGGCCTCAGAGCACACTGGTGGCACAGCAGCAAATAAAGCACGGGCTCTCCTCACTGTAGCCTTTCCACCTCCTTTTTTATAGGCTCCCAATGAGATTTCTAGGCTTGATGCCAATCTGCTCAAGAAATGAGCAGCTAATACTCTTACAACTAGGAAAAAACACCTCATGGAGAATAAATGCAATTCTAAAGAAAGCTGCTGGATTGACAACTATTGCAGAGGCAGCACTAGCTTCTTCATGGTTCCCACCTCAACCCAAACCTGGAAAGGTCCAGTCTTAGGGTAGTTACATTTCCATGACCCATTCAATACTCTGCTCCTTGGCAATGCTGGTCAGAGAAGAGCCAAGCAGAGGAGTTCTAGGTATGGGCAAATACTCCCTGTAGCACAACAACAGCCTAAAAATGATTAAAAGCAATTGTGGTGATCTCTCTAAACAGACAGGCTTGCCAGGATGAGATGGTGTGGGAAGGAGCAGGCCCTTTCCCCTTCCTTCTCATCCTCCATAACGGTTTTGAATAACTATATCTGCGGGACAGGGAGAAAACCACCTACTGGTTGAAACATTTTTTTTTGGTGGGGGGGAGGGGGAGGAGGAAAGAGAGGAATTCTCACAAGGGGATCATTTACCTGAGAAAAAAATTGATCAATACCAGGCTCAATCAATGCATCTTGCCAGGGCTAACATGCTGGTCTCGCCAGCTGGCAGGATCTAAACGAATATTTCACAATGCCAGCTGTTATCTACCACACTGGGGCTGCACATATATGCTGGTTTAATTACCCAACACTCATCCTGCTAAAGGTCATGCTGCTATCAAAGTCTTCCCTGTTTTTCAATTGGTTTTATCTAATTTAAGTGGTCTCTTATCTCCTCTGCTGTTAGGTATCTTCAGCCCCTTTTGGAATAACAGTCATAAACAAGAGGGAAGCCTTTGTGCTATCTCAAGAAGCTGCAACCTCTCTGTCTACCAGATTTTAGCCAGGGACTGCCAACCCACTGGGCACATGCCTTTCCCCCTTCCTGACCCCAAGAACTGAGCCAGATTGGGAATGGTCACAACTGCCATGCCAGGGACACCACAGACAGAAAACACCTCGATAAAACCCTAATACAAAAATCATCACATGGCACATAGCACTTTGTAGAAGAGGCACCTGGAATTCGCAAACATGCTCTGTCTCATTCCCATGGCGCACATTCAACACCAGCTCACTGCTTCCTTGTGCTCTTGTGTATCTGCAGCCACCTAGCATCTCGTGGGTTATGCTGAGATTGTAATCTCTCTGGGGCAGGTACCTGCTCTTTGATTTGAGTTTGTATAGCACCTGGCAGGGGACCTGATTATGACTGGAGTACTTAGACACTAGGGTCACACATGTAGGAGAGTTAATATAAATATCATGGAACAACTTAAGATATCTGAAAATCTCTTCATTTTGAGTTTACCTGGTAATCTTGATCATCAATCCCAAATCTTTCCCGGAGATTTCGGAACACCAGTGGGCAGTACTCCTTAAATTTGAAGCGACTTGGCAGGTTTTCCCTAGGACAAAGCAGCAGATGTCATACCTGTGGAACCAACAGTGCTTCACACACTAGCTCTCTAAGCCCTCCCTGCATCACTGTGAGCCCTAGAATCAACTCAGCCCTAATTCTTTCCCCACTCCCATCCAACCTTGTGCTTCACGCCTTCCTGAATCATCATGGCATGTTGCCCAACAGCCCAATCCTGCTAATGCTTATGTGCTCACTTTTACTACATGCATTTGAATATTTGTAAGATCAAGCATTTGGCTTGCAAGCTCTTTGGAGTAGGAAGCATGTCCTATTTGCTGTTTGTAAGGCACTGTATAGATTTACAGCAATGTGCTTTTTTGGGGATCAATGATTAAAACAGCTTAAATAAATATAGGCAATATCTTTTATTAGACTAACTGCCTAGATGAAGGTAGGTCACCTGTGCCCACAAGATTGTCTTAACATATCCAATCCTGCTAAATACACACAGGGACAGCGTATGAAATGACTGAAGAGCCTTGCACAAAAATTCAGAGCCCACTTCAACTACATCATGGCATTTCCAAACACATTGCCCACATGGGACCCTTTGCATTCCAAGTTCTTGAGGTGCATTCAAGCAAGAATAAAGGCATTATCCCTCCCCCAGTCTCTCCACCCCCGACTCAATAAGGAAACGGAGGCAAAGAGCCACAGCTTGCCTACAGCACGAGGAAAAAAGCAGAGCCAGGACCTGACTCAGGTTTTTGGCTTCTATCTCCAATGCTCTTGCCACAAGGCTGTAATGCCTCCTTAACCCCAAAGCCATGGCTTTGTAGCAAAGGAACGCACAGTACAAGCCAATCCTTGAGAAGACATAGAGGATCCCTGCAGGCTAACTTGGGCAAGTGTCATTTGTACTGTTTAACAGGCTGAAAGAAGGATTCTCCCCGACTCTGAGCCCAGATCTGACAAAATAATTTCTCCCTTTCCTCTCTCACTGCTGCTACTGTTCTGCTGGATAATTTAGCTACACCCTGAGATGTGGTGTTATTGTTTAAGACAGAGAGCTGGGGGAAGAGGTTCCCCGAGTCTGGATTAGATCAGAGCTGCCCAGCTGGTAGCCTATGGGCCACATGCAGTCTGCAAGAGGTTAATCTATGGCACAGACTCCCCTTAACTCCTGTTCCATTCACTGCTCCAGCCAGGGCAGGGCAGGGCAGGGCAGGGCGGCCTGCAGTGCTGGGGTAGCCAGGGCATGGTGCAGCAGGGGAACCCACAGCCAAAG